ACTTTTACTTCCGGTGAAAACGTAAAACCGCCATTTCTCCGCCAATATTTAGCCTTTTTCAAAATTTTTTTTCAGAAATTAGAGATTATTCTTTGACCTCTATTTTGACCCAAAAATCCAAATTTGAAGAAAATTGCCGACCCGAAGGTATACTGTAACCTTAAATTAAAGACACTCCGAGGATCCTACAAACTGCAAAAGACAGCTGCGAAGGATAAACTTAGAAACAACAAACAGTATTTTCATTGTTTCTCTCTGAAATCAACACCTTACCTTAAAATAACAGACATTAGACAAGGCTAATTACCTCACTGGAAATTGATTTGTTGTTTTAACCTTATACCTGTTTTTAATGAACCTTCCTATTGATTTACCACCGACAAAACCATTATCTATTGTTTAATCACAACCACTCTTCCGTTGAGAGAAAATTTAAAATACCACATTTGCAAAACTTTACAAAAAACTAAAACCTGCAAATGTATTGTAACTTGAATTGTAAACCTTCTGTTTTATGACAAAAATAACCTGTTTTCCATTGTGAATGTTTTTGAGCTGAAAATCCTGAGGTTAAATCACGTCTTCTAGACTCTTCTAGTTATTTTTCACAAACCAAACCTAATTTGTGCTCTTATCATGCGTGACAGTTGTAGCAGAGCTCCAGCGGCCCAAAGGGTCGTGAAGCAGAGCCCCATACCCATACGGGAAAGAAAAGCCCATGAATTGATTTTCTCATGGTTATCATGGCTAGCGGTATTGCTCGTGGGCACATACGCACGATGGCGACAACGATGGAGTCACGCAAGATGGCGGCCATACTCCAGCTAATAGGCTGACAGAGACATGCACCCTCGGTTTGTAGCATCCCTCTTTGATATTGGACAGCCATGTTATGGTCAATTGACATCTGTCAAAACAACGTATCCGCTGACTAGTATCATGTGACCATATCACAGGCTTAAGTTTAGAGCTCATCGAGGTCACATTTTTTTTTTTTAAGTTGACCGCTGACCAAGTGCTGGTTTTCGATTGGATCGCAGGGTCATCTCAGGTTAACTTGTTGGCCTGGTTGTTCAGAAGCCGGTTAACGCTAACCCAGGATTATAAAAGTTAACTGAAGTATAATTTTTCTTTATTTTGTGTGTATTTTGAGGACCTTGAGATTATTCAACCCCAAAACAGAAGGCCAAACAACAGAAATGGAAAACCTCACTTTAAAGTTACAAAACTCAAATCAAAATTCTCGCATATCCTGGGTTAGCTTAATCGGGCTTTGAACAACCCGGCCCAGAGCTCCGCTTTTAGGCTTGGCTAAATCTATATATTAAGCTATTTTCATTACAGCAAAAGGATTAGTTCTTCAGCGAATTACTTTTTTTTAAAGTTGAAAGATACATTGTGTCGCCTCCAGGTAAAACGTAAATAACAGCATAAACCAGAACTTCCCTCTTACGACATGAGTATTCTTTGGCTTTCATGTAAATGTTGTGTAACCCAACCGTGGCTCTGTAATGCATTAAAGAGACCATAATCTAAGCTACATTAACCAGTTCTGATAAAGACAAAACCTTCAACTAGCTCACCTTTTCGTAACACTATTCTCCATTGCTTTCTGCTATCTCAACTGCTTTCATAGCAAACTTCTTCAATGCTCTTCTTCAATTCTAGTTCAATTTCACCACTATTTCAGCCCACAGATATGTTTAGTTCAGCCCTAAACAATGCTCACCAATACGTAAGTTTAATGTAGACCCTTGACCTATCGCGTGTCCCACACACATAAGTTAAATTCAGATATCTCAGTGCTCATACAATGCTCACACAATGCTTATTTACTTCCTCCTGGAGTGTATTTCCCTTCCACAGAGGGGTGAATCATGCGCGACATAAGTGCAAATATGCGGTGCCCATTCAAAGGAATGTTGTGTGCCAGCATAAACTGATGACGTCACAATTTGTGACATCATCGCTTAAAAAATAAATTGCTAGTGTGCACGAGGGTTGGAAATGTGGTGAATTAGTGAAATGTTTTAGTGTCTTCTTAGTCAATTTTGTGTGGCAAAAGTGAAAGAAACAACAAATACCTTGACATCTTCTGAGCAATACCGTCAAATTACTGGAAACAGAACGGTTCTGTGACAAAAGCGACCTTCTTGCATCACGTTGTTTGTTTTGAACGTTAATGAAATATGAGTATTTTGAAAAAAAGAGGAATACACCAAGTAAATTAACAAGATTCTGATAGAGGAGTATTTCGTAACTTCTGGCATGCTTGTGCATTTTACAACCAGTACTACGACATTTTGTCAACGAAAAAGGCGTAGACGCTGGATGCCCAAGTTGACGTTTCACGTGTAAGAGTAATCAGTATAAAGTAAACACATTTTAACAAAAGAAATTAGCTTCTATTGTTTCTTCACCGCGGTATACCACGTCTTGCTAGCCACAGTGTTCGGTCACGTCTGTCCAGGACAAGGTTGGCGAATTCATCCCACCGCGGTGAATTCAGGGCAGAACACTTTGGTGAAGACAAGGTTTTACCACGTCCTAATGGGTAAATATTTTGAGGTGGTACTGTACAAGATAACTGCCCCGATCTCTCCTGGTTATCTCCTGATTATATGTTCTTCAAGCAAACGTAATTTTCTATTGAATGCTACCGTTAAAGGGACACAGTCAGCTTTGAAACCGTGATGACCTGGACACTAGTTTTCTCACTTTGAAAAAAGTTCACCTCAACCTGAAATCAAAGTACATCTAGAAATCCTCTTCAATCTTCACAGTGTTTTGCTTGATTTTCAATCGTTTACTGAAAAGCCTGTTTTTTGAGTGTGCTTTTGCTCAACCTATGATATTATTTTTATCATAATTGGTTAAAAACAGTATGGATCATGTCTCTGTGATATGCAAATTAGCTATGAAATGGTATCTAATGTGCATGTGCTCCAGCTGACTGTATCCCTTAAAACCAGGAGCCCATCACTAGGAGTGTGCAACTACCCCAATCATTCCTGTCCCAGCCTTTTTACAGACCCATCTATTTTTAGTTTGCATTCAGCGTGAATTGAGACCTCCCACAGGAACCTCAGTGACCAATCGCAAGCACGGACTTTATAATTTCACCAGAAGATTAGGTCAACATGTCCACCTGAGATCGCAATTTTTCTCCTTACCAATTTGTGCTCATATAGACCAGAACTAAAAATAGACCGGTCTGTAAAAATACTGTGACTTAGGCTTAGTATGGGAGGTAAAGGCTCCTGACCAAAGTTGACTCTAGGGTGCATACATGAACGGCTAACAGTGAGTGATTTCTGAAGAGTGCTTTATTTGGCAAGTACAGGAAAAATATTTATGGTAAGGTAAATATTATTAATTAAAAACACTTTTATTTCCAAAAATGATCTATCCTAGGTCGGTGATATGTACTCCGTATGAAGTCATAAAAGAATTCAATAGTCTGATTTTTTGATTTTTGTGGAATGGTAACGACAAGGTTATGCAACTTTCAATATTTGCACCCTATGACCAAGGTGGCCTTAAAATGTTAGATTATGATAGTATGGTTAAGGCTTTGAGGCTAGGCTGGTTAAAACGAATAGTCGACCCAGATTACTTTGGTTTCTGGAAGTCTTATCTTGATCATCTTTTGGTGAACGAAGGGGGGTTTATTTTTAATTCAGTGCAATTACGATATCAAACGAGTAACAATCTGAGCAACTTTCTATCGAGAACTATAGGATTGGTGGTCAAAATTAAGAGAAGTCAAGGATCCCGAAAATATACATAGGTATACATTATGGAACAACAAAGAAATAAGGATTGACAGCAAAAGTGTCTTCTATAAACATTTCTTTTATAATGATATCATATACACAACTCATCTGCTTTATGAGATGACAAGTATTGAGTCTTTCAGTGTCGTCAGGGGTGCAGGACTGAAGAACCCCAACTTCTTAGTATGGACAGGTCTAAGGCAATCAGTTCCACTGAAACTGCATGTTCATGAGCCCAACTTCGAGAATATCCTTGATTTAGAAAAATTTAAGTGTCGTGATTATTATCATCTTCTTATAAGGCAAAAAAATGAAAAACCAAATAAATGGGCTAAGTTGAGAGAAGAATTTAATCTAGAGGATAAGCAACTTTTGGAGGCATTCATGATGCCACTGAGAGTTGCAAATGAACCTTATGTATGTTCTTTTCAGAATAAAGTGCTGAATTCTATTCTATATACAAATGAATTACTTTGTAAGATAGGCTATATTTCTGACCCCAGCTGTTCCTTCTGTCATCAGAGTACTGAGACCGTATCTCATATTTTCTTTGACTGTTCTTTTTCTAATTCCTTTTGGAATGAGATATGTGAAAAAAATTTAAATAAACTTAATAGTTGCGTTTACCTCTCTTTAGAATATCGTGAGATTATTTTAGGATTTTTAACAGGGGAGATGGATCTGCAAATCTATATAATCATTTTAGGAAAAATGTACTTGTGGACTTGTCGGTGTAGGATATGGCTGAAACTGTCAGAGTCAAGGGCCCAAAATTTAAGAAATTATTGAGTAGCCATTTGGCAACTAAGTGATAAAAATCAAGTAGGAATTTTATTCAGAAAAGACCTCAATGCATAAAATCTGTAACGAAAAAATTCCTAAGACTTTTTTGGCCGCCAATTTTGTATACGTAGCTAATGTAATGTCTATAAAAGATTCATGCATTCCAAGAGACACAATCGGTAGGCATACATGATATACTTAATACTCAAGGGTTTGCAATGCATTATAGGGTGATTTTAAACACAATCAGCCATTTGCATGTTTTCCGATGTGAGGGAATCCCTTTACAGCAAAGCAAAAGGATAGATTGCTTTTCTTTTTTTCTTATATTGAATGTCATAGAAGCACAGATCTTTGACTGTATTTCTGGAAGGACATAATGTCTGAGAAAATAACACAGAGAAACGTAGTCACCATTATGGTAGCCTTTTACACTGTAAGAATGTATTTAACTAAATTTTATGGATGGACAATACCTAGGTGTTGGTGAAATGGTCGGACATCATGTCCGATCATAATATGAAATTGGCCGGACATAGTTATAATTTGGTCGCACAATGTATGATGACCGACTGTTATTTCCAGCCCTGCCCTTGGATCTGCTCTAGAATAATGGCAGTTAAGTTATGCACCCTCAGGGAGCAGTAGCCATAGTAACCTCTCTTGAAAACACAGCATCAGACATTCATGCAAGATCATTTGTAACAGTTAACTTCATGTACATACATGGCTCCATGATCCTCAACAACAGTCAATGCTGAAAGTGTTTTTATCACAACAAAGGAATGAAGAATCTTTTGTTTGTTTTTGTAGTTTGGTTGTAATCTGGATAGACAAGAGTTAACAAGAGGTGCAGATCGGTGTAATGAATCTCATTCTTCTTACATTGGCCTTGATCCTGATGAACAATACTGTGACTACCCTCAGGTGAGCATGAAGTGGCAGCATTCACAAACAGTTTAAGAGAGTTAATTGTGTTTTGTTTGAGTAAATACAGTATTGTGCAAAAGTAATGAGAGCGTAATTCGACAAAATTTGCAAATTTCGGGGCTTTTCAACGAAAAATGGCAAAGTTTTGTTCAACGCGAAAGCTTGGAGAAAATTCAACAAATTTTCCCACTGCCCATTGTTTTAGTTGACATGAATTTTCAAGTAGTAATTCGTGTCTACTGATAATTTGGCCCGATTTTTCGAGTGAAAATTCGCTCTCCTCGAATTTTCCTTCGAACTTTCTAGCAAAAATTCGCTCTGTTCCTTAAGCTTCCCATCGATTCCCAGTAGTAAGATGAATTAAGCCAGAGCTAAACAAGAATGTGCGCAATGAAAGCGTGAATATCATTGTGAGTGATGGTAATATCTCAAAGCCTTTTCTCACAAACTTACCTTGCTCATTTCCAGAGAAAGCTGATATCACTTTGTTTGTTACAGTCAAAGCTCGCAAGCTCAAATGGTCTGTTTGCCAACCTGTTTTCATTGAACAAGAAATGCTACTCATGAAAGTACTCACGGTGCAACCACAATGAACCCAGGCTCTGCGCGACCTTGTGACATTACTGTCAAAGGTTCCAAACTATTATCAAACCATTCAGGCCAGTCTCTTATGGATCTGTTTAACTCAGCTGAAGACTTTTTAACTCACAGTTTTAGTAGCATTCAGGCTGTATTGATTGTTAACCGTGCGGCCATGGGCTGAGCGCGGTTCATGGTTTACCTGTGGTTTTTTTTCGTAGATTTGTCGGCGACCAGACCCAAGCTTCCACCCGGCCAAATTTTGAGTCACGTAACCTGTGATGTTTACTTGCCAAAAGCTGTTGAAACATTAATAAATCTCATCTCCGATACTGACTTTNCTATTGTTCACAGGATATTAAACAAAAAAAAGCTTTCATTCCTGGACAGTTTTACGTCTCTGCAGTAGCAGTTTATTTTTATATGATGGGCATTTTATGACATTCTTTTCAGTCCGATATTTTTTGAAGGTAACAAGTATCAAAACTGCTCAAATGTTCTTTGAAGACTGCGTGGCACCAAGTTAAAGTGCAATTTAATGAAATCAGACTTTCAATGTGTCAGAGAGGTTTTTTTCTCTTTCTTTCTCTTTTCGGTGAAGTAGTGTTGTTGTGTTGTGTGAAAAGGGTAAATTTACGACTCGTATAAAATGCCAAGAGGTCTCTTAACTTGCTTATTTTTGAGCAAAAATTCCTCTTGGGGGTTGGAAGGGCTATGTGATTGGTGACTGAGGGAGTTATGCATATGCACGTGTCACACCAATTAGTGTGGGTTTTATCAAAGAACGAATCAAAGAAAAAATAAGATGGTATCTACATTAATCTGGAGACTTGTCAGATTACTGTAGTTTGTTCAGTGAAACATTTTATGGCTTACTATTTAGCTATCTTACCATTACTGATGTAACATCGAATGTACATCATAAATTCCCAGTTTCTTCCTTGCTGTACATCACAACCAAAAAAACTTGTCAAATTAACCAAATCTTTAATGTAAACAGTTCCATGAATGCTCCTATCTCTGAGACTTCACCAAAAAAAAAAACTCTTGCACGTCTTGCGTGTCTATGTTTAAAGTTTGTAAATTTGCCCTTTCCCCTGTTCACAACTGATGAATAGCGGAGAATGGGATGAGTTGGCTTCTGACATCATTTCGGGAATAACAATATTTTGTTTCTGAGAAGAATGTATGCGAACATGCGATAGTGTGTGTCAAAATCGTTGCACAATGCAAGGAAGATAGTTTATGTTGTTGGAGGCTGTAGCAATACAGGATGTGTAGAATAGAGTATTCCTCTTCATTCAATACCTTTATCTTGATGAAACTCGACTGTTCATGTAATAATAACACGCATGCTGGAGGTCGTAATCCAGCCGTGTTTCTTAATCGCCATTCAGAATACAGAATTGTTTTGTTCTTTGAGCTTTGTCTTTGAGGAACCAAATGTATCTAAATTACAAACTTAGAATGGATCAAGCATTTATAAATATATGAGGAAGGTGAAACAAGCGATTAAGATTCGGCTCTATAGCTACCGACGGAGATTGTGGTGCTGAAAGAAGAATGCGCTTGTCAGTCAATCGAAACACAGACTAATAAGTTGAGGACTCCCAGGTTATTAGCATACGTAAAATGGACATTTCATTCAAAACAACGCTGAAGTAGAAATGTATCCATGTAACTAATACTATACTGAACCTCTTTTCAAGATCTTGTTGAAGGATTTTTCATGATTTACTAGTATGCAATGTGCAAATTTGTGCAGCTTGTGTTTGTACACAGTAATTGACTATGCATACACTACTGTAGGTCGGCAATAACAAAGTGAAAAATTACCTCACCTTCGAATATTGTTTGCCGACAACTCTGCTTATCTTTTATGTTTAAACTATTTTCAATCATCAATCTGGAGAAGTAGGCAGGAGTGGACTACGACTGAATCGCATTTTAACTTGTATTTCATGGGAAATTAATGAATCTATAAATGTTTTGACACTCCGAAATCTGCACCTAATGCTAGATGATACAGTTCTTTCACTTAAAAATCTTGTCCAGTTTTGATAAAAATATGAGTCCCAAATAACCCAAAACTGTTTTGACTGCCCTTGAAGTTCAGTCAAAAATCTTTTGAGTGTTTTAGCCCGGTTCCCAAAGTGACGTTACTAGTACCCTGACCCAGATCCCACTATGCACAGTCGTGAACAAAGAAATTACATGTTTAAACACCTGTAGAAACACAGGGATTTTATCAATCGAGATAATTTTTTGCGGAAGGAATCAAGGAAACAAGTAGATTTTATTAAAGGAAAACATTTGGGGGGGGGGGGTTAGTGGCACTTAAACCTTTTTCAAAGTTAGTTTCAAATGTGAGGTGATAACCAGTTGCCATAGATGAGAAATTTCTACTTATTACTGTCTCACCCCAAAAGTGAGAGATGATCATGCTACAGGTCCCTGCATGCTAACCACTTGTTATCTATTTGGAACTTGTTGAAAACTGAGAAAGATTTGCCGCTTTATAGTCTGTGTGCAGCCGCCCCCTCTCCTCCAAAAAATCTTTCCCTGATTTTTTTGAGGGAGGGGGTGGCTGTAAATAGGCTACAACTTTCTTTTGCAATAAAAATCATCATTTTGTTCGGTGATCTTGGATGATGTGGTATTGTCAAACTTTCATTTCAACCACTGATGCTCTGCGCTGCATCTGCATCCACGGAAATGCATAGCATGATCACACAGCTGTTTGGATCAGGATGTGGCATTTAGTAATGTTAACGCTTTGGAAAAACAATCCAAATACCAGCAGGAAGAGTGAAAGCATTTCTTTCAGCCTCATGGCAGTCAAAGAGGCCTTGGTTTTCATTTGTACCTGGATTTTCTGTGTCTGCCAACTCCACAACATCAACTGCTGCAACTACGGACGTGATGTTCTGCAAGACTGGTCACGTGAAAATACTAAAAAAGTAAACTTTCTGTTTACATGTTGTTCAATTGCAATTCTTCTCTACTGAATGGGCAAGTAAAATATCACCAGGGCAAGTATGTCATCTGGCATATTTGCCTGGCTGATGACTTGGAGAAAAAATGAATATGGATCCCTGTATCATTAAGTGACAGTTCAATTTGCCAAACTGGGAATTGCACTTAAAAATGCACATTTGCTCTGCAAGTGGGAGTATTCTTTTTCAATTTTTGAAGTATGGTTTCCAGTTTGGCAATTTAAACTTGGCATGTCATTAAAGATGTCAAACTCCTCCAAAAAATCTCTCCCTGATTTTTTTGAGGGGAGGGGGCAGCTGTAAATAGGCTGCAGCTTTCTTTCGCGATAAAAATCATCATTTTGTTCGGCCATCTTGGATGATACGGTATTGTCAAATTTTCATTTCGACCACTGATGCTCTGCACTGCATCTGCGTCCAAGGAAACTCGTGGCACAGTCACATCAGCAAAGTGACTCCATCGTGAGACAAACAAGAGAAATTTATCTATCCTAAACTTGGCATGTTGCTAATTTTTTGCAATCTGTTGAGGCACAGCCAACCATAGTGCAATTATTTCATCCCTTTTTGATTCTAAAGTAGCAAAAGCTGCAAGTTGCTTCAAACTTATTTTTAATCAACATAAGAAACATTGCACTGAATAGAGTTCTCATCAAAAGAGCTTTGGGCAAGTGACTGAAAAGAGTGACATTATTTATGCCACTTGACTGTTGGAGACTGTTACTGATGTGGCTTAATGGCTTGGAAAGGCTTTAGCAAACTGCAAACATATATTAACAAAATTGACCATACCTTGGGACTAATGATTGGAATTAATGATAATCATCTTAAAATAATTGTGTTATGTTTCAGTACTTCACATTCAGTGTGATGCTTGTGATGATAGGATGTGCTGTCTTCCTTCAGCTGAGCACAGTACACAAGTTTTCCATGCTAGCCCTCATGTCAGCTGTCTTTGTAGTCTTGATACGAGTTGTCTACAAAGATCTTTTCAATAACCATGACAAGATCCATTTTTGTTGGTGAGTATTGAGTCTTTGCATTGGCAGGTGTTGCTGGATGATTTTGGAATTGAAAAGAGGTGCTAAATAATTATTTATTCAAAGAAAAATCTGTAGGTCAATCACCATTTATTGAGAACATTGCAGCAAAAACATCCCCTCGATTTTTGGTCAGTTTGAAAGTCCACAAAAATGATTGAATTTTGGCATGTGACTTTCATTTTAAGAGTGAAACATTTTTGGGAATTTAGTTTTTGCTGCTTTGATTTGTTTTGGGGGAATAACGTGCACTCAGAATGTCCGCAATTTCCTTAACGAACAGTGATGATGATTTTTTTACATTGTTTATTTACTATCATTGAAGAGGAAAAGTAATCTAATGCTTTTTTTTTCACAAGAACGTGTTGTTGAAAAAGAATGGTAAATAAAATATTTTAAAGAGGAAAAGGATAGTTGCTGATAACCAGACATTTGGTTTTTTTGAGTACTGGCCTATTAGTGACTTGAAAGTAGATTGCTGTTTGTGGTTTGTTTACTCAAGCATTTGTAAGCTATTTGCACATTTTTTATGTCCTGTTTTTTCTTTGTTTTAGTTTTAACAGGAAAGAAAATAATCTTGGGTTTTTCTTAGGGAAATTGACATAATTATTCTTGTACCATTTCCTGTGGCTTGGACAAACCACAGTGGGAGCCCTAAACCTAAAGATGGCATGAGTGCCAAGCATATATTTACTCTTCCTTAACTGCATTAAGGATACTCTCTACATACATTGCGTTACAATATTAACAATTAATATTTTTGCAACTTACATTGTTTTGCTTACACCACTGACAATGTGATACTACAAACAGACACATGCCACACCATTTGCAAAAGAAAAAAGAAACTTACTCGCAAATATTAACAATTACAAGAGACAAAAAGGCTAAATTGTGAGTGGGATAGATAACAGTAAAAGCCTGACAAGGAACCTAAAAGTACAGCTGTAGCAAGCTTGATTTTCAGAGGCTTAAGATCAGGATAAGGAGAGTAAAATGTAGCTTGCAAGTAGGCTCACATTTGGAGCCTGCCCATAGACTACATAGAAATCATAGTGCATGAAGTATTTTGTGCCACTTCTGCTGAAATTTATGCTAGTAATCAGTCACGATAGATATTTGTTTTTCAAGTTCTAAGTTATATTTCAGCTGTCGCGCATATTCTCTGATAGACCGAGAGATGTGTTGACCACCATTGCCATAGTCAGCAATCGTTTCAGACTGTTTGATTTTGTCCCTTTTTCCATCCCAGAGAAATTTGGAAAGGAAATCATTTATTTCTTTTAAAGATTTAAAACATGTGTGTAATGAGGACATAATATAGACCAACTAGGATGCAGCTAAAGTTTTTATAATTGTAATCTTTCCAGGAAGCGTTAATCTCTTGTTTTGCTGATTGTTAAGAATATCTTCAACTTTGTGAAACTTGTCTTCATAGTTAGTCAGGCGATCTGACTATAAGTTTACCCTCGTATTTCGTATCAAAGCTCAGTCACGTGCATTGGGCAATACTGCAGACACATAATAAAGGCTCAACCTTCTTTCCACGATGTTGATGCTAAAAATGGTGAAAGGAAAACATACGTCAAATATGTTAACAAATGGTGCCATCTTTTCTACGTTCAAACATGCAGACCTACACACCATTCGTGATAGATCTACTCTAAAAGATGGCGTAGTCAATGAGCATATATTCCAGTACGGGTAGTTCCGCCAACTCAAAATACCAAAAGAATTGAATGAGTTAGCGAAAGTCTTACTAGGACCAAAACAGAAATCAAATGAGTTATCAATGAACAGAAAATGTGGACAGAGATTTACTACAGGCAACAGAGGAACACTTATAAAAGTTTTAGATGTTGATAAAAACAAGGTGCGTTGTAATCACACTCTAGCAAACAACAACAAAGATGGCATGTTTGACTGCAAAAGTGGCTTTTGTCAGAGTGAAGATAAATGTAATTTACATTTAAATAGTAATTGTCATATTTATTTGGCCTCTATCATTTATTATGTTTTTGCTCAAAAAGATCTAGAGTACATTATCAGCTGTTATTTTTCTATTTTTGCTTTCGTCTGTGTATTATATTTGCATGGAATGTCTGCACGGTATCAAATAACATGTCAAATGAATGTGTTTCATGTGGTGTAGTCATATATTTTTTTTTAGATTTCCTGCTCTTCAGAGGTTTTAGTTTTATCAGATATAAGACCCTTTAGGAACTTGACGTTTTACTACATGTTAGCTCGACAAGGTTCTTTGTTTTGTAATAGGGCACATTTGAGTTTCGAAGCTTTTGTGTTGCATGACATTAAATGCCGGCCCAAGAAGGCTGTTGTGTTGGTCAAAAGATGAGTTATCACTTTAGTTTGTGCTAACTGAACAGTTCTTGCACTGGACGAAGTATTAATTTCAACGTGTTGAAACTCTAGAGCAATAACTTTTCATTTCAATTGCAAAACTCAATGGCAGCTGTTTCTGTTACTTTGCATCTGCCATATTTGTGCCCCTTGCAAAGCTATATTTGGGTGAAACACTTCTCTGGATAATGCGCAAATGAAAAACTGCAAGGTTGTTTATATATCAATTATCTATCATATCCCAGATTCTTGAATTGATTTACTGAATGGTTATGATTTTTAGTTTTGATCGCATGATTTAGGAGCAATATTTGAATGACAATATCAAGTTTGTACAAAAGGTGAGGAAGAAATAGCATTCTACACAGTCAACACTGAATCTAAAATCGTTGAGTTGTAAAGAGTCTTTGGGCAAATGTCTATCTTTGTTTAGCTGTAATACATCACCAAGTGTGTACAAGAATGCAAGCTACAGAGGTTATTGTGTTACTCTGTATAATAACAGTAAAACAAATCCTTGGCCTCCTATACATAGTATTGATCCTACTCTAACAATCAAGGCACCATGCGATCAAGTTGACATAATGTACTTTGGTGAACATGCTGAAAACCAATGTGTTACTATGAATTTGAGTGCTTTGATTTACAATAAGATAAAAGGAATACATAGCTGCCCGGGCATAGCTGTAAAAAGACCTGATACAAATTTTGTACAGGGCAGGTTTATGTAATGCAAACAGAATTACCGTCAGTGATTGGAGATTGCTATATGTCTGAGAAAAATAATTTACCAGCTTAATTTAATCGTGAAGGCTGCACTGGTAATCTAAATAATTGTGATTCAATAATTGAGGGATATCAGTAGTTATAAGGGAGTTATAAGGTATTTGATTCTCATGCAAGAGATGAATATGGTAGAAGCTACCCCTCAGGTACATGTGTACTATTAGAAGTACCATCCATTCACAGCTTAGTACAGTATTTCCAGACTAGTAAGTAAGTAAGTAACAACTTTATTTACAGAGGGTAACACATAACAGTAAAAAACTGACGAACCAGTGGCCCTCTACTCACCCTCTCGGTGACAATTATGAACTCAGAGAAGTACACAAAAGCTTCACAAAAGTTTAGGCTTCAGGAGTAATCATCGTTTTATTGTGACAGTCCTGTTTCGTATGGTCCAAAATTATAAGGACCACACTCAGTAGGCAACTCATACAAAACCAAACACCTTAAGCCTTGACTGTACCATCTGCCCATTTCAAGTTTTTTTCTGGTCACATAATTTAATTTGACCCTTTCTTTGATCCTATCCAGAGAACTTCGGTTTTTTCACAGTTAACTCGCAGGCCAGGCAGTTGACCGAAACTGTCTAGCAAAGCAAAAGACCTCTCAAGTGACGCTTGTGAGCCATCTAATATCATCGTAGTGTCAGCCGCATACTGACTTAATTTACACTCAACGTTTCACATGGAGATTCCTTTCATCATGTCTCCACAAATAGCTGTAGCTAACACCTCAACACAGAGAATAAATAGGTAAGGCGAGAGTGGGCAGCCTACCTTACTCCTCTACCTAAGCCAAAGAAACCCCCCAACCATCCATTATTTATTATGCAGCTTTGGATATCAGAACAAAATAAATTAATCCAATTAATTAAAGATGAACCAAAGCCAAAATGCTGTAGCATTTTCTGCACAAAGGTCCATTCAGTAGTATGAAATGCTTTTTCGAGATCGATGAAAAGGAGCAATCCAGGAATATCTTTCAGGTGGGTATAGGGAATAACATTATTGATCAAACAAATATTTTCTGTAATAGGACAGCCTCAGAAAACCGGTCTGATTGTGATCTATTAGATCCGACAACACAAACTTTAGACGAGAAGTGATAACTTTTGATGCAATTTTGTAATCGCAGTTTAGTAAGGTTATGGGCCTCCAATTCTTCAACTCATTTAATGCTTTGTCTTTTTTCAGGATCAAAGAAATGATACTCCTCCTCTGAGTTATAGCTAGGTTTCCTTTTTGATAGCTTCTGTTAAGGGAACTTATAAGATTAGTAGATACATCTTTCCAGAAAACTTTATAAAATTCAGCAAGGAGACCGTCTGTACCAGGTGATTTACCGGATTCCATTGACTTGACAGCTTCTAGACATTCTTTTTCCGTTAAGAGACCCTCGCATTTTTCCTTATCAATTTCGTTGATTTTGTGTGGGTGGTCATAGCCAAAAAATTGTTTTTCCGAATCTCCTGTTATTTTGGTACTTTTGGTTGTGTAGAGATCACTATGAAGAGAGTTACACTCTCTCTAAATATCTGAGTCATTAGTAAGATTTGTTCCATCCTTTGCCTTGATCTGCATGATTGTCTTTTTTGCAGTGGTGATTTTCTAGGTTCAGGAAATATTGTTATTTTTCCCTCCTTCTTTATACCATCTTGCTTTGGATCTAATTATGGCTCCTTTTGTTTTGTATTCAATAATTTTCTCTAATTCCTTTTTCTTCATCCTTAATTGTTCAGCAGGAGCTTCTTTGTTGTTTTTTATACAGCTCTCAAGTTGCCTTTCAAGAGCGGCTATTTCATTTTCAATATCAGCTTCCTTGGTCTTCATTTTTTTTGTTTTCGCCGTTGAGTATTAAATTGAACTATTTAATTGAAGGTCAAGTTTATGGTCCATCTCAATTATAGTGTCGGCCATATTGCGACAACCGTCACAGCTTTCATTGACTTCATTATCTTTGGTTTGTAAGCCTGATTCTTTTCTCCTGGCCCTCTTTCAACCTGTCACTGGAACTTCGTTCCCCATTAATTTTGTTCTGCCATAATTGGTGCTTTTGGCGAGTGGAGAAGTTATTAAGCCATTTTGAGCGAAAGACTCACAGACATCAAAAAATTGCGTCCGTTCACTCTGGAGGTCGGTCCCAATCTCATTGAACTGTACTTGCTTTCCTCACCTTTTGGTGAGATAAATATCTTTGATGGCATGTTTTGAAGTGAAATGAACATCTACAACCATGGACAAATTGTGTTGGAAAATGCCAAAAACATAAACTCATAACCGTAATACCTAGAGAATAAGTGCCAACACCCCCATTCCCCCTTTCAATGTTGGAAAATGATAAATGAAAACTTGTGTTAGATAAAAGTGTTTTGTCAACATTGCCCAGCGGTGGGGAAGGGCAAAATGCGCATGAAATAAATTTTTCCAACCATTGTGGCCAGGGTTGTAGTTGTTTTCCAAGTGGAATAGACATAATTTAGGTTGCAGGTTTCAAGGAAAGTGAAATTGACCTTAGCATCCGAGACAAGTGAAAGAGAACAGATCTTCCAGTCTGGAAACCTAATTGATGTTTGATGTAATGTGATAGGACAGCAAACTTTATGGCCTCTGCCTTTCCCAGGAAACTTTAGGAGATTCAAATTTACTTACTGCCTCCTGCAATAAAAAGCTCACTGTACTTGATCGAACTGTAAACATGTGATCATGTTGCGCATCTTCTGCTTCCTGAGAATATTGCACAACACTCAAAAGAAAGCACATGGATGAAAATGGAGATGACACCATTCGCAAACTGACATGACAGCCCTCTCTATTTCCTATGTTGTGTTTGGAATCTTTATTTATCACCATGAAGACATGAGAGGTAACTTGGTTGCTGCAGCAATTTTGTGATACTTCGAGAGCGAAGTATTAAGCATTCAAATTTGATATGGTGCCTCCTTAAGGTGTAATTGTGTTTAAGAGAACTCAGTTCTAATCGCGTAATGCATAAAAATTCAAGATCTGTGAATGTATCTATCTATCTGGGGACACCAATTTGACCCCCCAAAAAAATTATTCAGGGGCGAGTGGTGTCATCTGTACGGTGAATTTAACTGGAAATATGGTCAAGCAGGACTCCTCTGGTCCCTGTGCAATATTACGGACTTTCGAATGTCGAGGCAGCTTAGCAGATAAGTTGTTTATTTAAAGTTCAAAGTCAGTGTTACTGGCATTTAAAAACTCTACAGCCATGTCTTCCCTAGACTCGATTTCCGCAGCTGCTGGTGATGGAGCCTATGTCTTCCCGAAATGTGTACGACTTTTCAAGGCAGCTTATTGAAGACTGTAGCGGATAAGTTGTTTATTTCAAGTTTGAAGTCAGTGTTAATGGCATTTAGAAACCTTGCAGACATGTCTTCACGAAATGTGTACAACTTTTTGTACGAGCAGAAAGCTGTAGTTTGGCTTCGTGTTGTGTACCCTCTTCTCTTTGACCAAAACCAACGCTGCTTTCTGCTGAATAAGTCAAAGGAGGAAATGTGTAATTTCACTTCACTGGCCTAGATTTCTGTGCACAAATTATGTAACATAAACCCAAGGAAAGTGTTCACATGAGAAAAAACTCCCACAGGATTTCTTTGGTACTACAACATGACCTTGATCCGTTTCATTGTTTCGGCCCTGTAGCTGTTACCCCAAAGCCAAGGTGATTTAACTGTAATTGTCCTAGTTTTGGTAATAAAAGCAGCTTGTCTTGCATAACGACGGAACAAGCATGGTTGGTGTCGATTTACACTGTCAGTATAAAACATGTACTGCGGAATGTGGACTACAGGCTGCTGACTGGGTATAAAACAAGGACTTATGTGTAAAACGCGGACTAAGCATTGCGGACTGGGTGTAAAATGCGGACTGCGGACTAAATGCGGCCTGCCGACTGTAGTCCATGTTTTTCACTGACTGGTCGTAATTAATATTAAATAATAAATGTATAAATGAGAACAAACCCTCTTGTATGCATGTGATTTGTGATCAATTCATTTGTTTTTGCCCCTGCTGAAGGGAGACCAATTTCACGCCTACCTAACAGCTCAGGCACAAAATGCTGTCCCTAGAACTTTTACTTTTTTAACATACCAAACCTACCAAAACTTGAACACACTCTTTAATCTACGATTACTACTAGTTTGTTGATGTTAAGGTTTGAGGAATACTTGACAACCCCTTAAGTAAAGTTCTCTCAATATTACTATGCAGGTTGCAGTTAGAGGCAGAGGGCTATGGGTACATCAAGTGGATTGATCTTTCCATTGTGATTGTTGTGATGCTGACACTAGCTTTAACTGCACATGCATACTTGGTAAGGAAGAAGATTTTAGGCAGGGCTGTAGCTAGTAACAGGCAAACCAAGGTGCTTGACAGTCATTTTTTTCACTTTAGTTGTTTATAGTTCTCACAAACACCCTAAATACCTAGGAAGAGAATTAGCTATAGACATATGGATATTTTTTCTGGCTACAGCCCTGGTAGGCTCAAAGAACACAAATTGCTGTTAGTAAATCTCTCTAACTAAAAAGTAATGAGTGGCATTTGATATAGGGCAAACATCAAAAATGCACCTTTTATATGGAACTTACTCAAATAAAGTATACATTATTCAACTTTTTGACATTGAATTTGAAAATGAAAGAGTTCAAAATAATGTAATCCACTATCACGCTCATTGCTTTATCATCTATGTACTATCACTTTTTGTGCATGAAATTAAATCGGGAATTCCATCATAAGATGATAAGTTTCCTATACCGAAGCTTATTGTTCTAGACAGATAGATTGATATTGCTATGTAATGAATTTTCAAAAGAAAACTAACAATTACTGTTTGCTGTTTCTAAACTGGATGAGACAGACTAGAACAGGCCAGTTTCATTATATTAAAATTCTAGTGTAGTCATGAGGCTTAGTGGACTCAGACAAAAGAAGCTGTTTATTTTTGACCGATCCTCAAATGTGATTTCTTTTGTTTTAGTCCCTTACCCTGGGAGCCACGTTAAATTCTAATGAGTATGTTTATCAGTGATATGGATCAACATGTATTCATTTTGCTTTATTACAGCTTTTGGTGGTGATAAAGATAAGAATATAAAGCGAATGCCAGAGCTTCTTATTAATAGTTTAAACATAATTTATTTACCAACAGCATGAGGAAATATCCAGACTTGACTTCTTATGGAAACTCCAGGTAAATTATATTAATTTACTTTTGCATCAGTCAATTCCAGCAGTGCCCATCCCCCCCGGGCAACCGCGGGGCATTTGCTCACGTTGTCAGTCNTGTACATCAGTCCCATCTACATATTGACAATTACCAATAACAACTCCTGCTATAGCGAAATCCAATATCCGCAAGTAAATAATATTTTGTCTGAAATGTGTTACAATTTGTTCTCAATTTTATCAACACGATTCATCATTAATTAAGGGCAGTGTTTTTGCATTCACATCATTTTTGGGAATTACAGTTGCTAATGAAAGCAAATCTACAGTAAAAAATGAAGCTTTAATTTTACTGCATGCTTTGTCAAGTAACGAGGCGAGTAAACACAACACATGCGATACGGTAAACACACTAGCAGAGTGAATTTTCCTTCATCAGCTAATGTTTACGTATGTAAAAGTTCCATGTACTTTTTCCTTCCATCCAAAATCTATTACATATGCTTAGCTTTCCAACAATACAAATTACAATTCTCACAACAAATCTTATGTAATGATAAGGAATGTTGTCAATTTCACATTTCACCTCAAAGACGTCGATTTCACTTCGCATCTTACATGTAAAGTCACTGCGTATTTCACAAGAGTCCACATTGTCCATAAGTGTAAAGAAACCTGGCGAACACTTACGAGCAAGGGCAAAAAGTATACAAAGTTTATAAGTAAAAACACAGACTTGTGAGGTGGAAAGCATTCGCCCGATTTAAACACACTATTGAAAACTCATCAGTTTCTGTGATACCAGAACTCCCTCCACATTGAAGCGCCAGTTAAATAAAAATGGAGACAAATCAGATAAAAAGCATTATACTGGAGATTTATTTAAGCCACCAATTCAATTCTGAGAGCAATATACAATTAAAAATAAACTTCCTCATCTGCTAACTGCGTCCATTGCAATTGTACTACAAAATGTACCTTCCATCTTGGTGACCTACTCCGGCTGTTCTCGGCAACAAACACATTCTCTTTGCGTTGGCATGGTTGCACATTTCTCACAAGTACAACACAGCACATTTTCCAACAAATCGTTCCATTCAACTTGATTATCATCATCCCCTGAATCACTAGCACATTCTAGCTTCAAGCGCAGCCATACTAAAGCTCAAACAAACAAACATATTCTCGGACGGAATGATGTCACGGACATGCGGCCTGGCCTTCAAGATCCTTTCAAAATGGCGGCTCCCGGTGTCGAACTTTTCACTTCTTTTTCATTAGGATCACATCCACTTCAGAAGCTAAAACAACGGTGAGTAACTGAACTCAATGTGAACTAGTTTTTGGTGATGGAAAAAAATACACGGTTTTTGGAGTGACCTACTCCTTTAAGGCCTGGGTCAAAGGCGTTTGCTGGTAAAAATACAGCTGAACCCCGCTATTTTGAATCCTCAGGGGAAACTAAAAATAGTTTGAAATAGCAGGGGTTTGAAAAGACCAGATCGGTGTCAAGTATGATGATAATAAAAACTCAGCCTTTATTTGAAAATGTAACATATCTTCAGCGAGATTAAATCTCGCTGAAGAGAAATCTTAACATTAACAATAGCACTGTGTACTGCAATGCTACAGGGTTTATTTCTTTGAGCAACTTGGGCTGGGATAAAGTGTCACACTTCATATAGATGATATAGTGCATTTTTATTAATTCTACAGTACAACTTTCTTCACTTGTTAAGTAGGAACACAAACTACACAATTGTTTGGCGCTCAGTGGGACTGAGATTGTTGGGTGTTGGGAATAAAATAGGGGTGGCAGCAACACACCCCACACATAATGGATGAGCCAACAAGTGTGGTGCATGCCACACCTAGTGATAGCGATAATACTAGGGGACGAGTGAACGAGTGTGATGCATGCTAAACCCAGCTGGTAACTAAAAGCTAAGGTGGGGTAAGGGTCCCACCCAGCCTGCTACATGCGTCACTAAGGTGTGTCAGGTGTGCACCCATATCAACTCCCAAATATTGCCTTTTTAACGCAATAGAAAGCTAAGTAGTTGGAGCGGTGCAAAGTCCTTGCTGGGGGTTCCAGATGCTCTGTCCTGTGGCGCTAGCAGTGGCTAGTAGACTAGGTATTCTCTGAAGAATGGACGGTGGTTCTGATGTAGAGTGTAAAGCAGTTGCTAGACCAGTTGAGAGCAGTTGCCAGAGAGGTAAACCTGCCTCTTCTGTCATCTCAGCAGCCCCAATCCTGAAGCTGTCAGAAACATAGAGTTCCATTGGAACATCCAGATGGTGAAGAAGGAGGCAGAGGTTGGATGTAACCTTTGCTCTACTCAGGTAGAGCAAAGCAATACACAGAGTAGTGTTGCATCAATGGATGGATAGAGAGACAAGTACTTGTGAATTGCTCGTGCTGCACAGACCGAGCATCCAGATGGAGGTAACAAAAGGGAGCAGCCTTGACAATATGGATCTGTCTTGGAAGACTTCAGTTGTAGAGTTATGCAGACATAGAATGTAAAGGAAATGTCTGATCAACTGAGGTGCACCAGCAGGTTAAACTGGATTGTGGACGGTGAGGTAAACTCGCTGGAGCAGAGAAAACCGTAGAAAGCCATTGTGAAGGTACACCAGAACATTAGTTTATTGTGAGGGTGGATGTCAAGGGCTCGAGCTAACTTGATTTGATGGAGGAATACCACCATGATGGGAAGGCACATAGGGAGGAAATGTCCATGCTGGGTTTGGTGCCATGCAGGAGGAGGTGAAGTAAGAGAGCCTCCTGATAGGGGTCCATCAAACTGTTTTCAATGTGTTCAAAATGAATCCCAGCCATGTACAATTTTATGGTTGTGTAACTGACTTGACCACCCAGATAAGCGGCACAATCACAAAGAGTGGTCTCAGTGGCAGGGAAGCTTTTCACCGTTTGGTGGTGCAGAAGTTGGTGTACCTGCAAATACCAGCCCAGTGTATGTGGCAGGTGGAGGTTGTAATGGCGTGGGACTGCACAAAGGCTAATTGATGTTCCAGAGGGTCACTGCTGATGTGGGAATGGGCATCAGTGTTGCATCTACTATTAGAACTAGTTGACAGAACTTTGCCATCTGCAAACGGGATAAAGAGTTAGCAATGGAGTTGTCAGTACCAGTAATGTGGGAGACAAGGAGTTGAAAATTGTGAGATGCAGTGCTGAAAAAAACAACTGGCACCCGTTTTATGAAGCTTGATTTAGCGTAGAGATTTTGGTAGAGCTCTATGACTCTACGCTTTCGTCACCAGTCTCCTACATGTTGGAAAGATACATTACCTCCTACTTCATAGCTTTCACCGTAGTTGTTGTTAGTTATTATGGTTACTTGCCTATTTTGTAACATTTGTTTTCAACTTGTAGCATATTCCTCGCATATATCTCATATATATTAATTGTTATTACGGTTTACAGTGTTTTAATCGTTTTCAATTTAAAATTCTGTATTCAGTTTACCCTCTACCATCTACGCTCTACACTCTACGGTTCTATATACGGGCATAGAGGCTTACAGTTATTGTAGCAAACATTAAAGTGCATGGGGAATGTTTATGTTATTATGGTGTATAGTATTTTAGTTATCTTTTTAATGTACAATTCTGTATTGAGTTTACCCTCTGCGCTCTATGCTATATGCTCTACATTCTACTCTCTACGTTCTACTTGCTACTCTTTCCAATCTACTCTCTACAATCTACCATCTACCTTTAAGTCCATCTATGCTCCATGTTCTACCAGCTACTCTCTTTGATCTATGCTCTACACTCTACGATGTACCATCTACCCTCTCAGCCCATCTACGCTCTACTCTACGTTCTACCAGCTACTCGCTCTACGTGCTACGATATACCATCTATTCTATAAGCCCATCATCGCTCTACTCTCTACCTTCTTCCAGCTACTCTCTTCGATCTATGCTCTACGCTCTACGATCTACCCTCTAAGTCCATCTGCTTGGAAGGTTATTGGAATTTTTTAATTTTTTTTTCAATTTTTTAATTTTTAACGAAGAGAGTGACAAAATAAAAAAAATTAAAAAAGATTAAAACATTAAAAAAAGGCTTTTTAAGCGATGACGTATTGTGTGACGTCATGGCTTTATGCTGGCATGCACACATTCCTTTGGATAGTGATTTCGCATAGCTTGTCACGCTTATGTCCATGCGCTCATGTCGCGCACAATTTATCCCCCTGTGGAAGCGAAATGCACTCTGGGAGTTCCTTTGCTGCTTTCCTTTGCTGTTTGTAGGTTCAGCGGAGTGCTTTTAATCGTAGCTTTTAAAAGAAGATTTAGGGGTGGATTTTGGTTTAAACAGTATCGGATAAATTTGCGTTCACAGGCAAACTCATAGTAAGAACATATCCTCCATACATACAAGTTTAGATAGACAAGTAAGTCGCACAGGTGATAGATGAAGGCTTTGCAGCTTTCCTTTGCTGTTTGTAGGATCAGCAGACTGCTTTTAAGCGATATGACAAGTATACAGTTAAAACAACAAATTAATTTCCGGTGAGGTGATTAGTGTTGCCAAATACTTTTAAAGATAATAAGGTGTCAATTTCAGAAAGAGTAACATTCCTTTGTGGGTTTCCTTTGCGGTTTTCCTTTGTTGTTTGTAGGATCAGCGGAGTGCTTTTAATTTCAGCTTTTAAACGAAGATTTGGTGGTGGATTTTGGTTTATACAGTGTCGGATAAATATTATTTGCGCTCACGGGCAAACTCATAATAACATATCTTCGATACATACAATTTTAGATAGACAAGCGGGTCGCACATGCGATATGACAAGTCAAGAGAAAATGATTTTCTCTTGGACAAATATATGCTTAAAACAACAAATTAATTTCTGGTGAGGTAATTAGCTTTGCCTAATATCTATAAAGATAATAAGGTGTTGATTTCAGAGAGAGGAACTTTTCAGCGGAGTGCTTTTTATTTGGTTTGGTACATTTCGCTGACCCCTAGCACATGGACTAACAAGTTGGA